CCCCTACTTCGTTGCAGGGGATGTCGATCCCCTCCCCCGCGTTATTGAGTTGCATTCGCGCATACGGGGTTCGAGTGGGGGAAAGGAAGGGATCCCCTCCCCCATTCGAACCCCGTATGCACTGGGGTTCGCTCGATCAATACCTCTGAAACCACTCACACCATCCCAGCTTAGGTGCAGGGGAGGGGATCGCTCCCCTCCCCTCGGTCATGGCGGAGTTCGGCGGAGGGGATCGTTCCCCTGGGGATCCAGCTCCCCTCCCCTCCCCAGCGGGGACGTACTTGCATACGGGCCTTAGAGTACCATTCGATAGTGCGAAAAAGGATCCACCTACAATACCGCTCACAAAACATGCAAAATTTCCAAGAATTCCGCGAAATTTCGGGAAATTCGCGGAATTCCCGGAAATTTTGCATGTTCTGTGATCAGTATTATATGTAAGTCGTAATCCAGGAAAAATTTGGAGCCAAAAATCAAGTTTTTTCAGCTACCCCAAAAATCGGATTTACTTCAAGAAAATTCCTACTGACTTCCAACTTGGTCTCTAAAAGTCGATACATAGTAGTTCCCAAAAATTTAGTTGGTAGATTTTTTCCGAAGCTCAAAATTGAGAAATAAAGGTGTGTTTGAAAATGCCAAAATGATGCTTTTTTCGGATTTTTCATGTAAAACTTGGTATTTCTCAATGCATACAGGGTAAAATTTCGAGATTATAATAAGCAAGGCTTGTAGTATACAATGACGTCTGTAGGAGGGGCTAAGGGCGAAGTGTTTGCCATTTTTGGACTTTCTTTAATTTCTCGCCTTCTAAAGTGCGGTTCATAATTATACGAACACCCAAAATTTTGGAAGTTTTCGGACTTTTTGGGAAAAACTCAAAAAGCCGTTGGTACCACGCGATAGAACACAGCCGAAAACGGTATATGATTCTTAGAATGGAAATGGATGTCAATTGTAGGAGTGTTTTTGCGCCTAATGTGAATTTTTAGCGGTTCATAATTATACGAACACCTCAAACAGAGGTCCATTTTTCATTCAAGATTGCAATCTTTCAAATCCAAATTTTTTGTAAAGTTACGGTAACAAAGTCTGACATATCTGCTACGCACTGAACCCAGTGCAGTTCAAAACGAGGACCGTTACTTTTTTCAGAAGGCTCTAAATGCTTTTGGAGTGATTGGGCTCCAGAAACATCCGTTCTTCTGTGGTTTACGCGCTCTAATTAGCTTCTACCAAAGCTATAAGATAAAATAAGCTCTTGCGATAGATATTTTGTTTCACGCTTGAAAAATCTTTGCGTTTTCGTGCCGTTTTTCAACCAAGTTCCAACCTTATCTTAGAGTTAGCACGATTTCGAGCCTCAAAACTCAGCTTCTCTCTTGCGCAAACATTTGATTTGAAGCAGCTGCATTGCTTGCATGGTGATGTCTCTGTGCCAAGGTTTTTGGGTTTTTTGTAGAACTGATCTTGAGGCTATGGAGCTACAAACCAAATAGGGGTGTGATTGCAATAGTAAAAACAGTGTTTTTGGTGAAATGACGTCTGCGTGGCCAAAACAAACGCTCAACGCTGCTGGTTTTTTCTAGCCAAATATACAGTTTTGTGAACTTTTACATACTATATGCTTTCTTCATTGAACGGCTTCAGAAGCTTAGTTTTGAGGCTCGAAATCGTGCTAACTCAAGAGTTGGGATGGAGCTTGGTTGAAAAACGGCACGAAAACGCAAAGATTTTCCAAGCGTCAAACGAAATACCTATCGCAAAAGCTTATCTTACCTCATAGCTTTGGTAGAAGCTAATTAGAGCGCGTAAACCACAGAAGAACGGATGTTTTTGGAGCGCAATCACTTTAGAAGCATTTAGAGCCTTTTGAAAAAAGTAACGGTCCTCTTTTAGAACTGCACTGGGTTCAGTGTGTAGCAGATATGTCAGACTTTGTTACTGTAACTCTTCAAAAAATTTGGACTCAAACGGTTGCAATCTTGAATGAAAAATGGACCTTTGTTTGAGGCGTTCGTATAATTATGAACCGCTAAAAATTTGCATTAGGCGCAAAAACACTCCTAAAATTGATATCGATTTCCATTTTTATGAATATACCGTTTTCGGCTGTGTTCTATAGCGTTGTATCAACGACTTTTTGAGTTTCTCTCAAAAAGTCCGAAAACTTACAGAATTTAGGGTGTTCGTATAATTATGAACCGCACTTTATAATTTGAGTTATAAGACGAAATACGAGAAGAAATACTCAATTACTGGTGCTTTTATACTTTTTCTGTGCAATTGCTACAATTTTTTCCATGGTTAAATGTCAAGAAAAAATTGATAAGAAAAAATGGCAAGCTCCGCCCCCAGCAAACCACTGCTCCTCTTATATTAGGTTGAACCAAAAGTTCTGTCGCACCATATTTGAAAAATCATAACTTCTTTCAGTCACGACGATTTTGTGCAATTCAAATTTTATCTGAAAGCGTAAAGCATGTAGTTTCCAAAAGCTCCCTGGAAAGTCTCCGACATGCTCAGATGGCAGAGATAAAAATGAAAGAACGAGATTATTCTTCGGAATTTTCAAGCAAGAATTCTAGAAATTCAGAAACAGTGCGATAAAATCCAGAAAAGCCATTATCCTAATTTTTTTTACATTTGACTACTATCTGAGTCAAGTTTGTGCTAATCGAGGTCTTCTTTCAGAAGTTATAAATTTTTAAAAAAAAATGCCAAAAAATCCATTTCTTAAGAATTCTTAAGAAATTGATTTTTCGGCATTACTATTCAAAAAATCTTTTGGAAACTACATGCTTTACGCTTTCAGATAAAATTTGAATTGCGCAAAATCGTCATGACTGAAAGAAGTTATGATTTTTTAAATATGGTGCGACAGAACTTTCGGTTCAACCTAATATACAGGGTGTCCCAAAAAAATGTGAACACTGTTTGATTGTTAATAACTTCCTTGCTTTTATGTCTTTCGCCGAGCATAAGGTACCATTTTTTAGGGCGAGGTTCAACTTAGATCTGCAGTATGGCGCGAATTGTCGCGGATTGGGGTCCCCCGCTCCAGACGTCAGTGGTAACGTGCTCTCCTGCATCGGCGACAGGAGCGGAGGACTCTATCCGTGAATAGAGTAACGACACGTGTGGAAGGGTAGCTAGCTTGCGCCACGCTCTTATGGCCTGCCAAACACGGATACACTAGCACCTTAGAGGCCCTAGGCTACCAACCTAACCCCCCAATCTCAATTGCCAGCTTCTCCAGCCGTTCCAACAATGTTGGCAGTTGTGGATCCTCAGCTACTTGGGCACTTAACCGGTATCGTGCCACTCCTCCACCTGATGGAACTCTACAGGGCGCAACACATCGTAAAACCACAACAAACATGAACAGTATACAGATATTCCTGGGGCTAAGGCCTAAGCCTTAAGCCCAACACTCGTATCAGACACTAAGACTCTAAAGGTGCCCACCATTTATCCAGAACTTCACCAACACACAAACAACTCAATACAATAGGAAGAGAACACGCCGGTCAGATGTTACCTAGGGGCCGATAGAAAGAAAACCCCCCGCGGAGGTACTCCTTTGCCCTGCGGCAAGCAAGAAGCACCAACCGGGTTACCTCGAGGCGTCGGGCCAGTCCTCCATGCGTGGTGATGGTCTTCGCGTGAGTTGAGGAACGGCGCTGCTGCTGATCGATCGATAGTTGGACTGAGTGGAAGCCGACCGCTCGCGAGTAGACACATGTGGCGTACGTGACTTTCAGCAGTTGAGTTGCGGCATAAGTAGCGAGCGAGAGGGCGGAGCAGCGCGCGAGGACTGGCGTTTTAGGACCCCTTCGCGCACGAGAAGCGGACTCCTTGAAGAAGTCGCGCAATCCGCGACACTCCGGACAACAAGAAAAAGATTCCGAGGTAGGCTCTCGATCTACCACGTCACCTACGACCCTACGAGTTAAACGTACAACAATCTACGAGTCAAGAAACCCTAGGTTGTTCGCGCGGGCCTACATCCTGTCGCGGTGACAGCCGGCTGCCTCGTGGGTAAGCAAGAAGAGTCGTCGGGGGCGCTACGTTGGATATCTGGTGGGTCTTCTTCAGCAGTTGAGCATCGCATCTGGACCATTCGACCATGAGCAGGCGTTGACGTGGACTTCGGATTGACGTTGACGTACAGCGGCTTGATATTGGTGAACGAGAGCAGGTGACGACGTCGAAGGATCAAAAAGTATTAATTTAGCCTACGTGGCGCGGGTTTTCACGCCGGGGGAAGGAATTTAGATAGCGAGGGGGAGAGTTTTCCTCGCGACGCAAAAGAACCCAGGATCAAGTCAGATGCGAAAGAAGGGAATCCCAAATCCAAAAAGAGTCAACACGGTCTCCCTCCGTGGCCCCAAAAATCGCAAGTTGTGGTAGCAAGTAGACGGAAAGTGTGGACATCGTAGTCAACCTAAATCAAAGTTGACAACGGCATACAAGGCGAACTTAAGGTCCGCCAAAAACAACACAAACAAAAATAAAACAAAGCAAAACTGAAAGAAAAACTAAAAACCGTGAGTTGTGGATAGATCCAAGCATAGTGAGAAGAAACCAAAGGGCAGCACTCTCCATCAGTGCTCCATAGTCAACCTAAAATAAAGTTGACGACAAAAAACAAAGGAGTGAGCTTAAGGCTCACCCCAAAAACCGTAAGTTGAGGAATAAGAAAGACAAGTGAGGTAAAACGTAAAAAGTGGAAAAGGCAACTTACTTGCGAGGCGATCTCTTGACCTCTGCCCCTCGCCGGTTCATTTCCGCCAAGGCCTTATACTGCTCGAGATGCAAACTATACTCCAAGCGACCAATGTCGTTGATTCCATGCGGGTTCTCGAAGCAGAAAGACGTCTCGTGTCCAGTGGATTTGCATCTCCTGCATTCCCTTCCGCGGTGGGGACAGTCCTCCTCAGCATGTTTGGCACAACAAAGGAAACAACCTCCTCGTGTCGCGTTCAACTCCATCTTCCTACTCAGTCGCCGATAGACGTCACATCTCGAAGGCGAGTGTCGTTCTTTGCAGAAGTGACAACGAGTGGTTTCCTCTGCCCGTCGGCCTGCACGCCGTTCTGGAGTTCTTCTCCTGGACTGTCCTCTCCGCTCGAGTTGCCTTTGGGAAATGGGCGGTAGGGCCCCATCCTGGGGGGCGCCAGGGCGCTGTCGGGGCGTAGAAGGGACTGATGACACTGTCGAACCTTCCTGATGGACGATGGCTTCGAGCGCCCTTTGCAGGTCGGAGTATGCTGTGGAAGTGGAGGGCCGCTGAAGCAATTCCTGAACCGTGTGTTGCAGGATGCTAGGTGGCGGCTGTGGCGGTGGAAGTTGAGGTGCCTGTACCGGCTGTGGCTTCGGTTTGGTCTTCCTCTTCCGTGGCTTCGGAAGTTGCGGTGCAGCTGGAGTCACTGTGGTTGGTGGTGGTAGTAGAATGGGGTCTACAACACCTCTGGCTTGCAGCTGCTCCTTGAGAACTACACGGTAGCACTCATGCACAATTGACATTTGTGCTACGATCAAGTTCGCTGCATGAATGGTAGTCTCCAACTTGCGGGATGTAATGTCATATTTGGCCAGGAGATCAAGTCTGAACTGGATCTGCTCAGGTCTCAGGTACAACACACACATGACTTCTCTGAAGATTTCGTATCGTCAGAAGTTGATGTTGTAGATGTTCGTAAAAAGGATGTCCATACGGTTGGTAATATCTTCTGGACCTGGCTGCGGCCTATGAGTAAGCTCCTGCAGATAGTTGGTGGCATCTGCGGTCATCCGCACAAGTCCTTCCATAGAGCCAGAAATGAGTAGAACACTCAAGTGTGAGGAACTGTCTCCGAACTCCTGCCTCTTCTGCGGATGGATCGACTTAACCTGAACCTGTTCGAAGAAGTCCTTGTGGATGAAATTGTCAAGAGCGACAAGATCTGCGTGACTCAGCTGCGTCGAACTGAAGATGTAGTCCGTGGAGAGTGCCATGGTCATCTGATGGAGTAATTGAACGGCTGGTCGATACTCTCTCGGCACTACAGTCGTCGTTGGATCTTCCTCGGCCTGGAACGGAAAGTCTCCGGTGACGTCACGTCCGTTCGCTATAGCTGAAATAAGCTCGAGCATGGTGGGTGCTCGAGTGTGGGCTTCCTCAGTAACTGGAGGCTTGGCCTCTGTTACCTCAGAGGATTCCGGAGCTCGCGTGATCGCAAGCTCATGGATTACCTCAGCTAGCAGCTCGGACTGAGCGGGGCTTTCGCTCCGCTTTGCCCTTCGTGCCGGCTTCCTCTCCGATGAAGTTGATGGCGACCTCGAATAAGATCTCTTCCGCCCTCGGTATTGTTGGGACTTCGATGGTTCGCCCCTCTTCGTCTTTGTACGCCAAATCGTCATACTGTAGATGGTTAGTCTACTTTATCGCTTTACCCTGAAAAAAGGAGAGAGAATGATAGGGGAAAGGGAAGGCGCGCCACAATGACCACAACAGACAAATTTTAAAGGTTAATAAGTGAATAAAGGATGAAAAGAGAGGAGAAAAAGATCAAAGGTAAGAAAATAGAAAAGGAAGAAAAAGATGTGTCAATTAGAAAAGAAGATATAGGACAGTCATGACATTTGTGGATGTAGTGGGTGGCAACGCGCGGGGTCATAAAGAAAGGTGTGAATAAATAAAAAAGATGCATGCAAGGAAAAAAGAGAAAGAGTTGAAAAAACTAAACATGAGAAATAGAGTGAATGAAAAGTGAGCTACGAGTGTAGATAAAATAGCGTGCATGATGTTTTAGATTTCGCAACTAAGCTTACCTACACAACTAGCGCAAAAACAAAGGAAGGAAAGAGTGAAGAATGAATGAATATGAGAAGATTAGAGAAGATTGTCCAAAAAGGTGTGAGCCATCAAAATTTTGGTTAAAGGGATAGAAAAAGAAGCAAGAAGCTATAAAAACGAAGGACAAATGAAGGACGTGGCCCACAATAGAGTGAAAAAAGAAGAAGGAGAGAAAGAAAACAAAAAAAAGACCACAATGGACGAAAAAGTAGAAAAATCACAACTAACAGCCACATGATGCAATCTTTGCACATGATGACTGCACGACGATCGCGACGAGACCTTCAGACTTCATCGACGCGTAGAGGAGCGCGATAAATATCGTGCTCTGTGGAGTGCGATGCAAGGTAAGCGAAACGCAAAGCCCGAAAGCAACGCGAAGCCGCGACGATCGCAAAAGAGAGCGCTGTCAAGCGCTTGTGGATGGGAGACTGCGTCTTCACCAAAGACTGCATCCCTGTGGAATAGAGTAAGATATTCACTAAACACTCTCTATTGGTTACACAATGAAGTGTTATCATCGAAAATACGAAGCTGGACCACAACTTCCTTTTCCAACCATCTTGTGAGCTAGTCCTTCTGCGCAAATGATAAGATTGTAACCATAGGCACATGTGACTATGTGAATCGTTCACTTGTGGGGCTATAAAGATGGAATTCGAAAGAAATGGATCAAGTGGACCACAAATCGCGGTAATATCCTCTCGTCGTTTGAATGTTATACGCTAAGGGGATAACTGTTCCATTCCTACGTATCCACAAGCATCTTTCTCAGCAGTGACCTTCCCATCGTCCTGTAAATGCTAAAACGAGTGACGAACGTATCAAAAGAAACTTCCTGGCGACACATCTGCCGATGTTATCCATCTATCAAGTACAGACAGCTTGGTGTTAACAGCGTCTTCCTCCAGATAGGCATGATCGATAATGTCGCCACAATTGACACTTGGGTGTTAACTGATCGCTGAAGTGGGGAAAGGATAGTATGCTGAGTGACGACTCACAATTATCAATTGTCACATCTTTGCAATCACGCGGCCAGTTGTGTACATCCAAAACTCTGTTCTTTCCACAATCGTCCCGTTGTTCTCCAATAACTGACGTTCAGATGACGACAACTAGACTGATGTAATCAATGCAAAGAGGGAAGCAATCTACAGCGCAATACGCAATGATCGAACCGAAACCCACAAATCTCCTGATGGTGGGGCTTGATAGTGGTATAAGACGTAGTAGGAAGTATGGATCTGTGGGATTACAAATCCAGGGCATTTGTGGTATAGAGAGCGTGCTTAGTGAGATTAGGTATCTAGTGAGTGTTTTCGCCGTATGCGTTTGAATCGCTCAAGGCAAAAACTTTCACATAGACACTGTGGAATCAATATAGTGTTCGTGTGTGAGCAAAGTCCTCTAAGCAATACTCCTTGCGACGATCTTAATAGCAAACGAAGTAGACGAAATCCAAAAGTTTCGTGAGGACTATGTTCAACCACGAATGTGAAGAGATCAACAATCCTAAACGCCAAATCAAAGGTGGTTCTTCCAACGGCATCGAACCGAAACTTGCAACGCATCCTAACTCCTAATGCTGCTCTGATGTTACTAGCAGGATTGCAATATCCACAACGATGTTCGATTCCAAATCGACTGTCGAAAGGTAATCCAATTTGTCATGCACTGCCGAAATTTGTCTCCACCCTCGAACCAGGCGCCTTTGTCCTAACATTGTCTTCAGGAGCAAAACAGTGTGACCGATGTCGATGGAAGGTTCACGTCGTTGTGGGCAGATGACTTCGTTGGCTCGATCGAATTAGTCCGATGAAGTATAACCTAGGAGTCTGAAAAATGTGGTCGAACAAGATGTCAAAATGCGAAGTCTCTGGATGCCAAATCGTGCTTTGCAGTATAAGGTCGCTGAAATCTGAAATATACGCAAGTAGCAACACTTGTTCACCACATCATCCGAGATGCGCAATCCAAGGGTTCCTGCAAGCGTGGGGTGATGATTTGGGTTTCTTAGTCTATTTGGCTATTCCAACGAAGCGATCCAGACACAATAAGCCACGGGGGACCCAAAAACCCAAAGAAGTCTCATCAGCTCTTAACCTATTCGTTACTACCACGGATTCTGTGGGCATCACTGGATGTTATCGTGACTTTCGGTGTTCAACAGTACTGACAAAATCACACTTTTTAGCAGTCTAAAATCCTGATCCTCTGCTCCATAATGTTCCGATAAAGGTAGATGGTATAATAAACCTCTCCGAGGAACGATAAACACAAGCCAGACGTAAATTCGAAAAGCTAATTCTCCACAATAGCCTTCTATCCACGCAGGTGATGATAACGATTAGGAAACAAAGTCCAAATCCTACACCGTACCTTCTGACCTTCTTGGAAGGATGAAGAGCAGCGGCTTTCCGAGGGCTGGTCATAGTCCCTGGGTCAACCATCTAGCTATCAAGGAGCGAGATCTTCTCAGCCGCATCCACGAACAATCCATTGTAAAGGCCTGAACAGTCTCTACAGATAGATTTATCACTCTGGTCTTACGCTGAGCCTCTTGGGACACTGGCGATGAAACTCCAAAGACTGCACGATCTTCTGGTGCGTAATAGTCAGTCTGTTGACCACGTTCATGGAACGAACAGAGCAGGAAATCACAGTAGCAACATGTGGGCGAGCTGTAAGACTAGAAATCTGGGACTAGTGGTAGTCCTGTGGGGTATATAGGGCGAAATGTACGGGACAAAAGTTCACATATCCACTTCGACGTTTTACAACGTCCTCGATGTTTCCGGCATCTGATGTAGAAGACTGATGATATCCCGACGATGGTGTTGTACGGGTACCGGCGAAGGAGAAACGTTTGGTAATCCTCTGACTAGTACAAAATGTACATGTCAGGTTGGGGATCAAATTATAGAATAGCATGTGGCTTGCTGCGATATCCTCTATGTTTGCGCGGTTGATAGTGATAATCACGAAAATAGTCTCGAGATCTTCTCCTATGCCGTGCTAGATCTTCCAAATCCGAGGATTCTCCAGGTTGATGGTTTCCTTCCGCAGCTTGCTGTGTCTCCGATGACGACTCCGACAACCAATAAAGGAGATGACGATGACGTCCTCGGGTACATTCCTCTTTCTCCGGAAATCTACAGAGACGTCGATGACACTGACTTCCAGGTCAGTGTCAGGAGATGGATAGTCGTATTGTCCTGTACGAAACCCTAAAAAACTAGGCACTAAGAGTGCTGTGGGACATCTCTACTGACAACAAGAGTACTATGGGAACAGATATGCTCAATGTTTTCCTCGAAGATGTGATGAAGGTGAGACATAACCTGTCGAAAATCTAGTTCGAGTAAGCGTTCCTGGATGTCAAATGGAATCCTCAGTGCTCGGATCGATGGTGGAAAGAATCGATAAAGATCTTCGAAGTGCTCAATGGTATGAGGATTTCCGAACTCATAGGAAAGTGCCACGTCGGTTCCGAACCAATACGATTGCCATCAAATTCCTTGGGCTGTCGATGGAATAAGCTCGAATCATCCGTCGTATTGATTCCGCAACGCGCATATCGAACCATAATAATCACTCCGAGTTGGGTTAAAATCTCTCAACACCAATTTAGCACTTTCCATATACAATCATTGCCAACAGAGATGTTACATGTGGATGCTGTTCATTGTGCACAATCGACTTAAACGCACACCGAAGGGCTAAGATTTGGTAACATCTCCATCCCAAGACCACAACTTAGCCTTTTCCTAATGGACTGCTAAGTGCTACGATGGAGGTGGGGCCAAAA